CACCATACAAAATGTTCTACAAAACTTCGATAGAACGAGATGCTGAATTTAAAATTATCGATTTGTCACCACAACGAGGAAGACCAAGTAATTTCGGAAATATAAAGTTATCGTTTCTGTATGAAAAAAGGAGATCTATTACATCTGAAAAATACAAGGACACGATGGATTTATTATCATATATACTTCCCGTTCATCATGAATATTTTAAAATGTTAAATCCTGAATAAAATTCATTTAGTTATACCTACGTATAAACTGAAAATGTATAATTTGATTGAAATTCTTAATAAAACTGAATTTTTTTTGTTATGTTATATTTTCTACTAGAATATTCTTTGTTTTGTTTCACTTTTTATCAAATGAATAAATATTTATAAAAATTTGAATAGTATTTCGTTTTTATTATTAAAAAAAGGCTGATGCAACCGAAAAAATTCCCAATTAAATGAACGATTACAATAATTCATTAATTTTGAAAGTGAGGCAAGTCCATTTAGTTATAATGAAACTCTTACATTTTTTAGTCAGCACTGTAAACACTATTGGATTATAAACTTACATTATCTGGTACCACAAAATATTAAAAATATATCTATTAACACTTACCAATATTTTTAAATTTATTGAAATGCGAACCTTTAAATATCTCGCAATAACAAAAATTGGACTTGCCCCATTTTCAAAATAAACGGCTCATATATTAACTGCACATGTGTATATGCGTATATATTGCATTCTAATTAATTACAGCACGACCTAATGGAGATTTTGCTTATCCTGGTTGTATAAAAAATCCCTGCCTCCATAAAGGGCGCTGCTTAACGATGCAAACAGCGCCCTCTATCGAGTTAGCATCGTTCAACAGCGACAACAGTAGGTCACGTGGCCATCGGTGGCGAACCAGGTCAGAGAAGACACTGCCTGTAACGGGTTAGTTTGGCGGCACGATTTGTTGGTCGGTTCGAATGCCCGCCATTGCAAAACGATGCGGAGGATGCTTATCAAAACAAGAAAAAAATTCGGGGTATCAGTTTGTAAAGCGATTACATCTTATAAATAAGTAAAACAAGAAGTATTGAAATAATTACGAACGTACACAACTATACAATAAACTAATTAGTTCAAATCTCATGGGAACATTCCACCACAGTGAATTTATTACATATTTATACCTTTTGTAATTATAATATAATAAATAAGAGTAAAAATAATTAAATTTCTATTGTGTAATTGTTATAAATAGAGGAAATTTCGGATAACGATCCGTGTTTATTCATCATAACAGTTATCGGTTAGCTTAAAGGAAAGAAATTATGCAAGAAACACCAGAAAAAGAAAAAAGTACATCCATCTTCGAGTATTATCTCAGTTCTTCTTCAGTGATTGGTGTCTCTCAGATCTTCAAATCAGAGAGCATCTTCCGAAAATTATTATGGTTAGCAATTTTGGTGACAGGGTTGACATTCTGTGCCATAGAATGTCATAAATTTATGCGAGAATTTTATAAATATCCCGTCGTTGTTAATCTAGAGATGGAGAATAAGGGCGAGTTGGAATTTCCAGCTGTCACTGTTTGCAACCTGAATAGGTATGTACAAAAATATTCAAAAATCTAAAAATTTAAAGTATAAGAAATTATGTTTGTTTATGATTAAAATTATTAGAAATATTCTATAAATTGAATATATAAAATTAAAGTAATCGTTCCTTTGTTATTGAAAGAAATGAACGAACTTTAAGAATGTAAATACGTTATATTAATCAAAATATGTTTTATGTATCGTCTTTTAAGTACGAATATTTAATTAAGATATAGAGTAAAACCAGTTTAAAACGGAAACCTGCCAATCTGGAAAAATATTCGGTCCTGTTTACACAGGTTTTTTTCTGTATCTGATCCAAATAAATAGAAATTTAAAACATTATAAGCTACTGTTACTGTATCTACTTATAAGATAACTTATAAGTAGATACAGTAAAATAAATTAAATGTATAAATGACGAACAATTATTTATTGTGACAACGCCGCAATTTCAGGCTGCAACTTTTAATCGTATTTTTAATATATTTAATTTAAAATATATGCTCGCCACCTCAAATTATTAGTGGCTTGTCCCTGTACATTATACTTTTCCTGCTAGTCATCTAACTCCTTTTACGGAAAGTTTTGAATTGAAATAACGTGACTTTCGTTATAAACCAGAAGTTTGTATACGATTAATCGGGGCTTCCTGCCCCTACAATTTCTATATCCGGTCTTGACTTTCATGTATCTAACTATTCTCAAAAGTAAGGATGGACAGTCAGTGGGAATTTATAAGTCTATAATTTTTTCAAATTACAGCCCAATAATAATTGTTATTATTTTTATTATTAGCTGTATTTTCAAAATTAGTGTTATGAATACAATTAATAATAAATAAAGTATTGTATATTATATTTGACATTAATTTAAATACATTAATTTTTTAAAAATTCAGCGTGAAGAAAAGTAAATATGAAAATATTTTGTCAGTCATTGAATCAATTAAAGATATATCTGTGCCAGTAAGTTTCTCTTGATTTTCTTATAAAATATTACCTAATGTACCGTATCATAATTGTTTTAGCTTTATAATTATTGATAAAATATAAAGAAAATTAAAACTTAATAACAATGAAAGTAATGAATATTAATTTTCATTCCATTGACTGAAGTTTAGAAAATTAATATCTTCTTGCGATGAAAAGAAAAAATCAAGAAATGAAAACAAAGACAAGTTTTATAATCAGTATTTTTCATTGAATGAAGAAATTAAAGAATCTATTGGGCACCAAAAAGAAAACTTCATTACATCTTCAACTTTCAACACAAAAGATGTATCTGTACTTGAGTAATTATTGCATTATATTCGCTATTATTTAGACTTGGATATATTTAATCTAAATTTACTTTAACCTAGAAGAATATGCATTCTTTAGCAGTGTAGTTTATTAAGGACTTATAACTAGATATAAGCTATTAAAACTAAAAATTAAATAGTTATTCTTTCTACTTTATGTAATATATTTTATTTATTTTAATAAAACAAATTTTGCATAATTTTTTTACGGATTTTGATAGTGATTTCGAAACGATTGTCAAACCGGTAAATGGTCCGTGTTACACATTTAATGGTAGAAACACGACTAGTGAAAATATGAATGTTTCTTCCGTTCGCTTGTCTCGAAATATCGGCACTCTGAGCGGTAAACACTTTTCAAATAAATAAAAATGTGTAAAATTATACAAAAATGAAAAGTTATTCATTACTTATATTTACAGGTTTAACTCTAGTGTTAAATTTAGAGCTAGAAGAATATATTTACAAAACTCAATCTGTTGGAGCCAGGATCGTTATTCATTCTTCAGACGAATNTGTAACTAATTTTTACATCTGTTCCTCAGTAACTTCCAAATGGTTGTCAAACCAAGACATGGGCCGTGTTATACATTTAATGGTAGAAACACGACTAGTCAAAATATGAATGTTTCTTCTGTTCGCGTGTCTCGAAATATCGGCACTCTGAGCGGTAAACACTATTTAAATAAATAAAAATGTGTAAAATTATACAAAAATGAAAAGTTATTCATTACTTATATTTACAGGTTTAACTCTAGTGTTAAATTTAGAGCTAGAAGAATATATTTACAAAACTCAATCTGTTGGAGCCAGGATCGTTATTCATTCTTCAGACGAATTTCCCGATACAGAAGGTGAAGGAATTAACATTCTACCTGGAGTTGAAACCTCCATTGCTATTAATAAGGTGGGAAAATATGAATAGTTATGTAAAATATAACTGTAATTTATTTTGAAAATTTTCTTTGCCTCTTCCTTTCCTCTTTTTAAATGTTTTTTTTTTTTTTGTTTAGAAAACAACAAAGAGACTTCCTTTCCCGTATAAAGATAGATGCAGAGATTATAAGAAAGAAACTACTCAGAGTGCAGCAATTTTAAATGGAAAGGTGAAGTATAATATAATATAAGTTCTATGTGATAACTTATTTTTGGGTTGTACAAAATAAAACAAATATCTTGTAAATATCCATAACTTGCGTAGTTTAATTATATATAGCTACTTTAGCCTCAGAATACATTATACTATCTTCCTAAATTTACAGATCATAGATTCAAATCTAGAATCAAGCATAGAAGTTTAAGTTTATCGGATTTTAATGGAGATTATATCATGTACCGTGTATTTGAATTTTATGTTTTATGGTGTGCAACTAGTTAAAGTGCATAAAAAGTAATAATAATCAAGTCTCAATTAGTTGAAGTTGTTTTAGTTCATTAATATTAATTTTATATTATCTTTCAATTTTAGTTGTGAGCGAACATAAAATTAGATATGAAGAGTTTGTTTTATTTCATGTCCTATTCACACAATATTAACACAATTCCAATATTCAAAATTTCTGATGCAGAATCTCTTCATTGGGCTCTATTTCCAGATTGCAGACCAATGAAGTCCCTATCCTTTGTTAAGCTCGAGAACGAAGTTAAATGAAAATCGAGACCAGACATGAAAAGTTTAACAGTAGGATGTCTTGATTAACCTCCTGGTGTAATGCTATTTTTACTTTTTCGGCTGTTATATATAACAGAAGGAAAGTATGTCGATCGGTCAAAAATGATCTTCTCCAAGATTTTTACATTTTGGAATCAGGAGATCTTAAAACGTTGAGAAATGCCAAAGACAGAGGGAGTTGGTTTTTCTGTATGTATGGATGTTAGTATGTGGGAGACACAGTTTTCTTCACCCACTTTGAAGATTGATAACTCCTGTGCCTTTTATCGAAAATTTCTGAAATTTTTCACTCTCTTGAACTTCTGTAACTAAGTTCATTCCCAATATTCTTTCATATTGCCAAAATCGTTTATTTCTGCTGATGAAATCACCGATGTTTCGTTCTCATTCTTTATTCGGATCTCTCAAAATGAACAAAACTTTTTAAAATTTTTGAAACGTATTTAAAACAACAATAATGAAATTATGTTTTTATACTGTTTACAGTTCATGTATTAATAAATTCTATTTAACATTTAGGATTGCGTGATTCAGTGCCTGCAAGATATAAGTATGCAGAGATGTAACTGCACCGATCCGACTCTCATATTCACAAAGAGTAGGAAGAAATGTAATTTGGAAAATGAAATAGAAGGTTGGACATTTGTTTGGGAAACTTTAATAATGTATCATTTTCTTAAAATTTTGATGCTAATAAGCAATGTACAGTACACTTTAACATTCATCTAGGAGCAAGAGAAATCTTTTATATATTGCATGAATATATGCATATGATGAATTAGTTCTATTCCATGGTTTATAGTAAAATAAATTAACTCACTCAAAAAAGGGCACGTGTAAATCGTGCGATAATTCCGCGGAAAATTTTTCAAACGTAAGCATAAGATTTCAAATAACAAATCAGTTCTACCCGAATCACATGGTACCACACGATATCGACATCTTTATGGAATAGCAACATTATGCAATCTGCTAATTGTTAGAACACTGGGACAATGTCTTATGCTCACGAACACTACTGTGAAATAATTATAGTTTATGGATAAATGAGATGAAATGTATAAGAAGCAACAAGTAGATTCCAAGAGTGCTTTCTAGCTGCACCAAGACCAATACAAAGGCGTTTTGAATATGTACTATAGCAAAATAAAGGTAACTTTTTGTATTAATTTATGCAATGTTTATATCCTTTACAGTGAAAGATTCTTTGTAAATTATGCTATATGTTCTTAAAATCATTTCCTTCCACTATCTTTACACTCGGGAGGAAAGGAGGAGAGAAGGAGGGGAAATTTACGTATTGCCGTAGAACAATTACCTAATTTACATGTGTTCCTGTTTTGAAATGAATTTAGTTATTTTACTGTAAACATTGCAATGAAATTAATGCACCATATGCATGTATTCCTGCAATGCTGAAAACAACTCTTTTGCCTCTGGATAAATGTTAAAATGTTGACACCCAGTACATGATATTAAAAATATTCTTAACACATAATAAGAAATACAATTTAATTTTATGAATTTCATATATCTGTAATAATAAATTAATGTAGTGTACCGTATTGTAAAATGTTTTAAATTAATGTAATGCCCCTATTAATGCCGCTTTATCGGGCAAACGAGTCTATTCAATCAACATTTACAGATTTTTGTAAGCTTTTAATATGTAAGTATAAATATTCTATATTGTAATTGCAGTTTGTTGTCTCGATGAAGTATTTGAAGAAGCATTTTCAAACATCTCCAAGATGTGTGATTGTCCAATTTCCTGTTCGTGAGTACACATAAGATTATTAATTTTAAATTTTTAAACAATGACGTTATATACTCAATTAAGTTTAATTACAATACATATATTGTATATATTTTTTTCTATCTGTGAGCACAAAAAAACGTTTTTTCCATACTCATCGGATTCGGGCAACCTTGCAATGTGGTAACATGAGTGGTGAGGGACGAAGTTTGACACATCTTGTAGAAAATTTTTGAAAATATGAAACAGAAAGAGGCACATACTTCAGCTACAATATGCAAACAAAATTTCCAACTTAATTCTTAATATAATCAGTGGAAAGACTGTCTTAATTTTTTTATAATACATACAGACAACTAAGCCTGAATTATACTAATGATCAAATAATAAGTCTAAATTAACTTTTGGGTTACAACTTTGCTAATTATTTCATAGATAATAGTGAGGTTGCGGCCAAAGTTTTCATCTCTAAAACATGAATGTCAAACGTTCAGCATTGCTATCTTGTAAGCGATGCTCAACATTCAATGTTTACATTTTAGAGATGAAAACTTTGGTTGCAACTTTGCTATAATTTGGGTAAAGGTAGATGATTGTGCTGCCATCTTGTATTAAATTTAATAATTATATCAATTTTTGAATTAAATTCATTAATTTAGACCTTGGGTTCTCAACATTTTTCTTTCATTGATTCCATGTAGAAAATATCCTTTTTCACTAGACCCCCATAAAATTTTTATTATTTTCCAAGATTTTTCATAATATATTAAGAAATTTATTAAATCAGTTAATGAATGAATTTTCCACGATTGTTGTCATTCTTATTTGAAAATTACTTGAAATTCTCAAAAAAGTACAATAAGTATCTGATTTTTCCATCAACTCTCAATTGATCCCTTGAGTTCATTTACCTTTTTCATAATTCCATTCATTGCTAGGGATGTATCTTGACCCTGATTTAAACTATTCTAGAAGAAAAGATTGATTCAGAGCAGGACTTGAACCCAAACTTTTGCAGTGATATGAAATTAATTAGCCAAATTTTAGCCTAATATTTAAACCAGTCTTATCATATCATCATATATATTTATTTTAAATTGATGATATTATACATTGGGTTCCACAGTAGTGTAACTAGATCTGACATAAAGGGGGCCCAAGTTATAATGTAATATGAACCACTACACATTTTAATAAACTTTTACTTTTATTATTTGCATAATGGATAATATCTAATATATATACACTATTATGTCAGTAGTTACCTCCACAATTAAATTTTTTTGTCTATATTTAGCATTTTTATGAGCTTTTTTACTATAAAGGAAAGGCTTGGATCACCTGGACTCCCTGGTTTTGTCAGTGATGTTCCATAAGTCTGGAATCACAAGAGTTTGTTTATTCTTTTACAGATAAAGCATGATATTAAGTAAAGAGAAATGAATTCAAGTTATTTTAAGGGTGGGGACCCACATTCAGCATAAATTTGCTGAATAGTTTAAAAATTGCATTCAGACAAGAATAAACAAAGCGCAACATAATTCCTATGGTTGTGGACCTTGTAGAATAAAATATATTTTATAATTATAATTAAAATTTTTTAATTTAANTTTCAAATTATTAAAAAAGTGTTTTATTTCCAGCACAATTTCGGAAATTATGAATTAAACTATTCCTCATTTCGGTAAGCAATTTTTCACTTATAATTTCGTACAATTTCATTCAATCGAATAAATTTATGATGATATTTTGCAATTTGATCTTAGGAATACATATGCCAAATTGAACGTTTATTACGCCAGTTTGGAAGAGACTATTTACGCTCAAAGACCAGTTTATCAGGTAAAAATTATTCAATAATTATTTATAATTTGAAAAATTTTACATTTATACTCGTATTTTAATATTTTCTTGAAATCTTTCTAGAATAGCGAATGGTACAGTCATTTGGGAGGACAGCTTGGCTTGTGGTTAGGAATCTCCCTTCCAGCAATTTTCGATTGTATTGAAACTATAGCGTTATTAATTCGTTATGCCGTCGTTAAATACGTTGGAAGCCATCGAGTAAAGAAAGAAAAAAATGATATATTCATAATGCAAGTTCGCAACGATAACATTCTCTCAAAATAACAATCTATTGAATTTTGTACAGATAAGCTGTGCGTGTTAACAATTATGTAAGCATTATTTCTTTCAGTTTATAGCGTAGACAATTAGGCTACACTATAAACTTATAGAATGATACACAAAAAGATTTTATTCATTGTGTACTGTATTTGCAATTTTTTATTGAATTTTGACAATATTACTGAATCTGAAGTAATGCAAATAAATTATATTTAAGTTCAAGTAGTAATTAAAATAAATAATTTAAATGGTAAAGTTGTGATTTTGTGTTATTTTTAAACGAAATATAAAGATCTTCATTTCAATTAGAACGTATAGGCCTGTATTATTTTGAAGATTCCTTTTCAATATGAAATTTAAAATGTATTAATTAGAGAATTTCTCAAATAATTATGTTCTTAAGAAGATAATCGACAGTGGGCTTAATTTAAGGAAATAATTTCCTTGTTATATATTTAATTTGATTTAATTAATTGGTACAGTTGGGTGAATCCTCAAGCAGTGCAAATGGTAGGACCAACTGGCCCTGGCAAATGGTGAGGGTTTTCCTCAGTATAAAAGTTTATTTTATTTTTTAAAATCGAAATAAAAACCAATTTTTATTCCTTATCACTGGATGTATCTATCGATATACGCAATATACGGAAAGGTTATAATTAAATTTTCTCTATTCGAAGCACTCTGTAGCTGCAACCGATAGAATGACACCAAAATTTGTATATAGATAGACTAAACAAAGGATGTGCAAAAGGATTCTTCAAAGAAAATTCAGTTGAAAATTTTCTGCTAGGGAACAGAAAATACACGAAAGAAAATACAGTAAATAACAAAAATCAACCTTAATTAAAGTGATATTTTAATTTGTTATTATAATATTAAAAATATTGGCAATGAAAAATCTGAATTCGTATTGTTTCTGGTTGTTGGTTCGTTTAAAGAATAGGCTATGGTTTATCACGGAAATGTTGCAACTTTGACAGACTTAAAGAATCGTATTACACTGTATTACGAAGCATAAATGATGAGCAGTTGCAGTCAGAACACATTGTTCATAGCTGAACAATGATTTGGTTTGGTTTATTTGTTTACAGCAACGCGACACGTGGGCAATCTGCCGAGAGGGGGATGGCTCCCGGAAGGACTTTCTTCTAAAAACAAGCCCTTATTTAGGTGTTACCAATTACCAACCTAAGGAAAACCCGGAAACAGTGGCGGCCTTAGGGGGTGGCGAGCAGGACAATCGCCCGGGGCCTCGCTCTTGGAGGGGCCTCGCGCAACAACCAAGTAGAAAAAAGTTGATANGATTAGTAAAATAATTATATAAAATTTTTAGTGTTTAGCAGGAAAGTTTCAATTATCACGTGACGTTACAGTCATCCCATGATTGGCGTTAGATTTTGCGCAGTGATATTTTTATATGTAATTTGCATAATTATAATGGTAAATTATTAATCTTTATTAAACAGATTTAGTTATTGTGTATTAATTAAATTCATCGGGTTTTATGGAAGGATTTTTCAAAACTTTTAGCATTTATTCAGAAAAATTTATCTTTTTGTCACGTGAGGAGTATTTTCAGTCTATCCCATATGCATCAGTTGGCGCCAGATTTCGTGGAGTTCAGTTTACTGTTTCCTTGGTGTTTCTCGTTATCTTCCGAAGTTTACTGCGATAAATTTTTATTTGGTGCGCTGTTTTTAATGGATATAAGGTGGAAATTTTGCAGTAAATTTAGAACGTGTTTGAGAATATGCTATAGGAAGAAAAGTTGAAAAATAATTTATTTTCGACAATTAGCGAGAACTGATCTTTGGATATAAGTGAGAGTATGTATTATATGCTTACTAATTTATTTGTGCAAATAATTATCTAGCCCTAATTTCGAAACATCTATGTTTTTTAGTGTTTATACGCTTGTTATTTAGACATGTCTATTCTAATAATGCTATTACGTAAAACAACGTTTAAGAAGAATACAAGTTCAATTAGCAAGTACATAACACACTTGATTATTCCGTTTTATATGAATTCCATGTTGTACGAGTCACTTAGATTTTACAAATGCGTGATCCGTTCACAACCCGGCACACGTATTTGTAAAATCTAAGTGACTCGTACAACATGGAATTCATATAAAACGGAATAATCAAAAGTGTTATAGGGGGGTCGACTGTACTCCATTTATTAGGAAATTAATTTGTTGGTAGATTTTTTTTTTTTACATTTTGAGTGTAATTAGATGAAACTAAATAGATGTGAATATAGAAAGTATACGTAGAATATGACTAGACTAATATGAAAAAAGTATCACGTATTACTAGATCAGAAAATATTTGAAAAATTTATACTATAACAATTTTGTTTTGATTATTACGGCCTAGAGTTTATACCGAATATATTTTTTTTTTATTTAATTTGTAACTGTAATTACAAATATATGTAAAATTCAGGATTGATATAATGTTATATCATTCGAATAGTAATGGCGCATAAAATATTTACAGGATTAATTTTGTTTGAGGAAACTGATGAAGGCAAGCGCATCGACAGTTGTATAATGAACTGAATTTATTTAAATTAGTTGACTTTGTTTGTTTCGATCTAGTTTTTTCCTAATGTTACGATATACGTACTTTTGTCTTTGTAAATTGTATTGTACTGAAAAATAAAGTTTTATGTTTTTTTCCTACTTAAGGCAGAGGGACGGATGACAGTGGGAATTTATAGGTCTAATTGCAGCCTAATTAGATATCTTTCCTGACCTTTCTTTAATTTAGAAAGGTGGAATTCCCTCCTGTTTCCTTCTTCCTTTCCTCATTCTCTTTTCCTTGACAGAGAACTGAGCAATGGACTTTAGATGTTATCCGTATTAAAATTTTTTCTATATAATTTTTCACGTTTATTTTATACGTTTATATATTAGTATTATATATTTCATTAACATTTCTTAATAACTAAGAAATAAAGATAAACAGTTTAATATATATTTTGTTGTTCGGTGGCCATTTATATTCTGAACGCTTACAGACGGTTCTATACCAAATATTTTGTTTATTTTATTTCACTTGTTTTATACAGTAAAATCTTGTCAATTCGAGGAAAGAAAATTCGGATTTAGACTTAAACAGTTTGATTTAACATGTGAATCTGTATGTTGGACGATCGGGGAAAGAAAATGACTTCGCGTTATCCCGGTTAAACAGGTTCCACTGTAATTATTATACATCTACTAAAGTAATATTATATATCTACTAAAGTAATGCTAAAATAAAACGAAAAAAGGAGTTAACTTATTATTTACTGGTATCATGTTTTCAATGGTACTTTATGGACTACTTTCGTTCTAGCAATTGCTTGAGGGATACCATTTTGCGTAAATACTTTTAAATTAACTGCCTCTTGAAACATATTAACAAAAAGTACTTTGTAAACTAAATTGTATTCTTGTTTTCCAGTTAAATGATTAAGCGACAATTGAAACTAGTATCCTGAGATCGAATTCGAATATGTCAGGCCAGCTTTTCATCACCCAAATGTATATAACTTGTTGTACCCGGCAAAGCGTTGCTGTGGCTCAANTGATGTCTGATATATTTTCATATAAATAATAATATTTCTAAAACGGATTTTAGAAACAAAATACAGTATTAAGTATAATAATTATAAACACATACAAAGAACATAAAAATCCAATAGACTGATGAGTTCAAATCTCATAGGAAACATTTCCGGAAAGATAAACATATTAAACATTTACATTATTTGTAAGTATATAAAAGAGAGAAAATAATTAAATTTGTAGATAGATTTCGCTACAAAATAGGTGCGACTAGAGCTATAATCTATATGTTTTGTTGTCGGACGAGTTATAGGATAGTTTATGAGAAGAAACGAAATCATGCAAGAACCATCGGAAAAAGATAAAAATACATCAATCTTTGAGAAATTTCTCGGTTCTTCTTCGGTCATTGGCCTTTCTCAGATTACTAAATCACGAAGTATCGTTCGAAAATTACTGTGGTTAGCAGTTTTGGTGACCGGATTGACGTTTTGTGCCATAGAATCTCATAAGTTTATGCGAGAATTTTATAAGTATCCCGTCGTTGTTAATCTAGAGATAGAGAATAAGGGTGCACTGGAATTTCCAGCTGTCACTGTTTGCAATCTGAATAGGTATGTAGTATTACTTACAATGTTTTTCTCTCTTTATTTCTTGCATAAACAAAATATAGAATACGACTTACCAGTTGTTTATTTTTAGTTTATAAAACTCTCTCTACCCTGTAGGACTTTTTTTTCCATACTCATCACGGCAATACCCACCTTGAGTCAACAGGGTGGTGAGACGCAAGCACGACATATCCGTACACGGGCAGTCCATGAAAATAATCCTGGAATTTTTCGATCCCAGAATCGATTCCGGGTCCCAACTTTTTCTAGATCGAGAAAATCGGGACAGGGTTCGATTTTCAATCGATTAAAATGATTAAAAATTCAATCGAAAGATCGTAATATCTTTCAAAATGAACGTTTCTGATTGATTTTTATCTGTTGATACTGTGAACTTTTAATAATCTAATTTAATTATCTTTATTCGTATCTAGGTCGACGACCCTAGAATAATCTAATATTTTTTTTTGGAAGACTCCACCCTAAATATACATAAATATCTAATGGGGAACCATTAGTATTTATATGTAGCCTATTTATTTAATTACGATTAAATTAATAAAGTTAAAAGAGAGGATAGAGATTCAGTTAAAATTACAGAAATCATATCTCACACAGTATAAATTCATATTAAAATAAAACTTTAATAATTATAATTTGTTTGTTAAAAATGACAAATTCGTACAGATCTAGGCTGAATTAGTCAATTAAAAATAGTTTTCTTTATTTGATAAATATATTATTTTCATTTGAGTAGAATTTTATGTCTCAAAAATAACGATATGTCTTATGTCTACTACCTAAAAGCAATTAAGACTTAAAGCTTATTATAATTATTACAATATCATATATATGTTGTTGATCCTCTAAATAACAGAGTAGCCCTAATAAAAGGATTGTTTGTTGTCTGAAGATGTTGAGATCCTTTACACAATAAACTTTATAAGTAAAATAACAATAGACAAAGACAATATGTATATTGTAATGTATACAAGCAGTGTCTGATTAATAACATTTCTGACCATATGCACGTAGAACCGCCAAGAAAAGTCAATGATTTACTTTCTATTTACCGCTAGATCTATTAAAAAAGCTGCGAATGATCCTATTCTCCGCTTAAACTTACTCAAATATATTTAAAATTTATACACAAATCTAGAAATCGATTTATAGGTCCATGTCAAATCAGGACTCTACGCAATAGACTACACTTAGGCTCTACATATTAAGGGAACTATCACACTTTTAGCCAGAGAATTAAATTTTATTGAAAAACATTTTCCTTTTTAAATTTTAGCGTGAGAAAAAGTGAATATCAAAAAAGATTTGTAAAAACTATTACGATTGAGAGTGCATTTGATAGTCCTTTTCTGCCTTCTGCTGCAAGAGGTTTCTTTATTCCAGTAAGTATTTATTAAGTCTTTTAATCAAAATAAAAATTAATTTGTGATTAGTTATAGAATTTATAACGAGTTTAATAGTTTTACATAATGTAATTCAATTTATTAAACTATAACAATTAGTATTCATTTCTCTTTGATGATTTCAGTTTAGAAAATTTACATCTCAGTGTGACGCAGTTGAGCAAAAGTCCAGAAATGAAAATAACCAAAATGATTTCTATAATACGTACTTTTCATTGAACAAAACGGTCAGAGGATCCCTTGGACATCAAAAAGAAAACTTCATTATGTCTTCGTCTTTTAACGTCAAACAGATTTCTTTATTTGAGTAATTAATTGGTCGCATTGCCTTATAATTTGTCTTTAACACAGCGGGACGAGCATACCAATGACATAAGCCGTTTCATTTGAAGCAGATTAAGTCATTAGTTTACTTATCTAGCCGTATTAAACAGACTTTACCAAGCAACAAACTCATTGCTTTCCATTTTTATGCAAACATATATAAATTGTATGAAGAGAATTTAACGATATTATTCTATTTATAAGTAAAAATCAGCAAATAATTTTTGTAATCGTTAATTATTATTATTATTATTATTTTAAATAAAATACAGTTCGATTGTAAAGTCCCTTCGCAGTGGGTGGGTGAGCTTTCATTAATGAATTAATGACGTCATAGCAGATCATGCATAGAAAGAATTAAAGTAGGTTGTGACATTACCATTGGGCCAAGTCTCACGGGTGTGGCCAACTGAGGAAGGACTTTACCATAGTATTGTAGAATGTCTATAACGAATATCTCATGTTATTTTGTAACTAATTTTTACATCTGTTCCTCAGTAACTTCCAAATGGTTGTCAAACCAAGACATGGGCCGTGTTATACATTTAATGGTAGAAACACGACTAGTCAAAATATGAATGTTTCTTCTGTTCGCGTGTCTCGAAATATCGGCACTCTGAGCGGTAAACACTATTTAAATAAATAAAAATGTGTAAAATTATATAAAAATGAAACGCTATTTATTACTTATATTTACAGGTTTAACTCTAGTGTTAAATTTAGAACTAGAAGAATATTTTGACAAAACGAAATCTGTTGGAGCCAGGATTGTTATTCATTCTCCAGACGAATTTCCGGATACAGAAGGTGAAGGAATTAACATTCTACCTGGAGTCGAAACCTCCATTGCTATTAATAAGGTGGGAAAATATGAATGGTTAAATAAAAATAGAATTGTTGTTTACTTTAGAAACTTTATTTCTTATTAGCAAACAACAAAGAGACTGCCTTTCCCGTATAAAGATAGATGCAAAGATTATAAGAAACAAACCATCAGAAATGTATCAATTTTAAACGAAAAGGTACAGTGAATAGCATAAAAATTTACTTTAATTTAGCTATATTAAATTAATAAAAGTTAATATCTTGTCATTAAATTTTCAGTTTGAGTTTTTTCCCTCCTTAAATATTAATTAAAAAGTTGTGCAGAAAATTTTCTTTTAATATTCTCATTTCCTGCACAAGAATTATCTATTTTTTTATAATTTAAAACAGATTAATACTGACAATAATAATAAAATTATATTAGTATTTTATATAAATGAATTGTATTTTAATATTTAGGATTGCATAATTCATTGTCTGCAAGATCTCAATATTCAGAGATGTAATTGTACCGATCCAACTCTCATTTTCAAAAAGAAAAGACAGAAATGCGATTTAGAAAATAACGAAGAAGGTTTAGTATTTTATTACGAAACTTTATGTTAATGATACATTGTTTTCTTAAGAACTGCCGTCCAGATAACCATATGGAAGGTGCTTCCAGAAATCCAATTGTTTATCTGAGTATAATCCTCATAACGTATTATTTATTAAGTTCATATTCTGTTCTATATAAATCGAAACTTTAACACTTGAAAGTTATTATTTTAAGTTATAAAATCAAGCAATAAAACTAAATCTAAAATGATAATATAATATTTTTATATGCAAATGAATATGAAACAAAGATTCTTTTCTTTGTTTCAAACTTCTATTTTTAATATTCTCTTTTAAATTGAAAATGATATTAATAAAACAACATAAAATAATCAAAGGTTATTGTTTCATTGTTTAAATCAACGGGTATAAAGCATTTAATAGATAGCCGGATGGCCGAAGCTCCAGCCTTAGTGGTCTGGGATTCTGGGCGATCCAAGATTGAATTCAAGCGGTCGAAAATCCCCAGAAATTTTTTAAGGTAGTTTGTCCCTAATATGGTTGGTCTCATCCCTTGCCACTCGGCGGCCCCACTGTGGATCTGGCCGAACCAATAATGAATATACTAAAAGGCTCATTGAATTCGACCATAATGATGGAAACGCCCTGTGCCCATTTATGTCTTTGGCATAAGTGCCCACAGAGCGGAGAGAGCGAGGGAAAACATTTAATAAACGAGGTGCAATGGAAGGCGAGTCCCTCCTAAAAAGAATTTCAGAAAAACCAAAAAATTGTCAAATTTTAATAAAATGAATAAAAGCAGCATATGCTTACTTACTGTTTTATAAGGCTTAAATAGCAGTATTTATAAGTTATTATTATAAATTTTATAATGGAAAACTAGAAACAATTTCTGCCTTTCTACTACTTTTAAATGTTCTTATATTCTTAAGATAATATTTTAAAAATATCTGCTACAGTAATATTTATAGCATAATGAATATACGAATACTTAAATGTATTTCAAATTTGCATTTTGCCAATTAATCTAGCTGAAGATATTCTTTATTCAACCACCATTCAAGATAGTAATAAACAGTTATAAATATTTATAGAAGTGTTTTTGCAAAACTTTCAATTTATAAATAAATGTATATTATATTTTCAGTGTGTTGCCTTGATAAAGTATTTGAAGAAATGTCTTCTCTAAATTTTGAGACTTGTGATTGTCGTGTTTCCTGTTCGTGAGTAGATCATCATTATATTATTATATATACTATATAACTTCAATACATAAGCAAATCAATATTTTTTTACAATTTTAACCTCCCTTATCTGGAACAATGTAAACTAATATAGAATTAACTAAAAATCATATTTTCTATAATCATGTTAAAACGTAGTATATATAACATATCCTTAAACGTTTTGTCATTAATATAGTCCGGGCAGAGAAAGAGTAGACACGAGTCAGCCTGAGCTGGAAAGATCTATTTCACATGAAAGGGATGAAAGGAAACAAGTGGGAGTTGACACATTAATTACAGTAATAAAATTTGTATGAAAAAAGTAAAATGTTAAAATTATGATAATAAAGATAGTATAAAAATGCTTTTAAAATGTAAAAAGAACAAAACAACCAAAAGAGATCATCAGATCTACGTGTCAACATCTACGTATCTCCTATCCCTTTCATCTAACAGGCTGACTCGTGGCTTGCCCATATCAGTACATCATACTTTTCCTGTTAGTAACAGAGTCATGCCGTCATCTATCTAATTCCTCACAGGGGAAATTTTGGATTTCGGTTTCGGAAATTCGGTTTGCATCACAGGTTTATATTCAGTTAATTAATCGGAGCCTTGTGTCCTAAGCTTTCCATATCTGTTTTCAGCTTTTATCTATATAACTCATTTCTGAGATTAAGGCAGAGGGACGGACGACAGTGGGAATTTATAGGTCTACAATTTTTTCAAATTGCAGCCTAATTAGATATCTTTTCTGACCTTTCCTTAATTTAGAAAGGTGGAATTCCCTCCTCTTTCCTTCTTCCTTTCCTCATTCTCTTTTCCTTGACAGAGAACTGAGCAATGGACTTTAGATGTTATCCGTATTAAAATTTTTTCTATATAATTTTTCACGTTTATTTTATACGTTTAGGCCTATACATTAGTACTATATATTTCATTAACATTTCTTAATAACTAAGAAATAAAGATAAACAGTTTAATATATATTTTGTTGTTCGGTGGCCATTTATATTCTGAACGCTTACAGACGGTTCTATATCAAATATTTTATTTATTTCATTTCACTTGTTTTATACAGTAAAATCTTGTTAATTCGAGGAAAGAAAATTCGGATTTAGACTTAAACAGTTTGATTTAACTTGTGAATCTGTATGTTGGACGATCGGGGAAAGAAAATGACTTCGCGTTATCCCGGTTAAACAGGTTCCACTGTAATTATTATACATCTACTAAAGTAATATTATATATCTACTAAAGTAATGCTAAAATAAAACGAAAAAAGGAGTTAACTTATTATTTACTGGTATCATGTTTTCAATGGTACTTTATGGACTACTTTCGTTCTAGCAATTGCTTGAGGGGTACCATTTTGCGTAAATACTTTTAAATTAACTGCCTCTTGGAATATATTAACAAAAAGTACTTTGTAAACTATATTGTATTCTTGTTTTCCAGTTAAATGATTAAGGACAAGTGAAACTAGTATCCTGAGATCGAATTCGAATACGTCAGGCCAGCTTCTCACCACCCACATGTATATAACTAGTTGTACCCGGCAACGCGTTGCTGTAGCTCAAAATGTATCTATTACAAATGTATAACACTCCCCACGGGAAGGAATTTCGAAAAATCCCTTCTTAGTGTACATTCTCTTGACGTACCCTATTAAAACGCAA